GCAGAGCAAAGCAATTTGTTATGAAGGAGTTTCAGGCGACTTTCAGCTGGAGCACGTACACGGATGCGGACTGGGAAAGTAACAAGTGGAATCGCAGATCGATTTCGGGAGTTTTTGTCATGATTAATTGTACACCTGTGAATTTTTTAGTCGAAGATTCAGCAGAGCGTGGCACTGAGAACGGCTGAAGTAGAGTATATGGCTCTTTCTTTGTGTGTACAGGAGGTTCTGTGGACAAGAAGTTCACTCAAGGAAATGCAAGTGAAGATTAACTATGCTGTCACGATTCATGAATACAACCAGAGTGCAATTGCTATTGCTAAGAACGACGGCTATCAAAGTCGAGCGAAGCATATCGACATCAGATACCATTTTGTGCGCGAACAGGTGAAAGACAAGATTATCGACCTACAGTATACTAAAATCAAGTCACAGCTGGCAGAATTTCTGACCAAACCAATTTCGACAAAGAAGTTCGGGTCGCTGCTGGACAAAGCCAAGATTAGAGACTTCGCTAGTCGATGTAAAGTATTGGTTATGCTGTTGGTTACTGATACTAATGACCACATGACGTAGACGACACTGCGTGATTGTGTGTAACGGTGGGATCGACTCATCGTTTTGTTACTAATATTGTAGAGTCGACATCGATAGGCTTAGAGTAGTACAACGAGACGAAATAAGGACCTAGCTAGATAATAATTTACACATCATTTTACCTTCTTCTAAGCACTCCCACCTTAACTCGTCCATGGTTGTTGCCAAAAGTCATAAGTTCGCTGCGTTTCTCGATTGAGCAAGAAAGCCCGGAGTGTGTCGAAGGAGCAGTCGTCTGAGTTCCTGGCGTTCTTTGAGTCTCCTGAGCCAGTCGATGTTCAGCAATACGTGTGCGAACAGTGTCCCTAAGCTCGTTTAGACTAACGAAGGGCCGTGCGGTGTCGCCCAGATCGGCAGCTACTATGGCGCTAGCCCTGAAGTTGGGCGTCAGAGAAACTGCAACGCGCAAGTGGGCGAACAATTATACCACACTGTAGACATTGTAATCGTCGCCCAACGTTTTGGTGAGAGACGATTAGTATGGCGCCAAACCATATGATTCTTACTACCCCTTAAAAAAATAGGGCCACCCGCCAGCGATAAAGTAAGTTTACACATCACGTCCGATGTTCTGGAAGCCGGCGTGCACGTGTATCCATGTCTTTCACTTCAAATGAGGTATGACTTTTTGGCTTCGGAGAAAAGCCATAAGCTTTTCGATGTCGTGAAATCAGGTCAGGATCCCTGATATGAGACCGTATACTCTGCCTGCCGCCGCATTTGATCACCATTCAGGATCACGCTTTCAGTCCCATACTGTTCCATGGTGTGGCCCATGTGGATTAGCTAGTGAATAGCTTCCGCCCCGAAACGTAAAAGCCACACTATGATGCTTTCATAGCCGTTTCTCTTGTAAAGAATAAGAAGTGAGATTGACTTTGTCACTTTGCTGTATATAATCTTCTTACGTCTGGCTTATCAGCGCGTGAAGCGCTGACAAAATGACCCGTACGAACTCAGCCTTTTTCAGTATCGAAGTGATGATGCTGGAGAGCTTTGCCTACTGGCTCGTATATGATGTTGGCGTTGTAACGTCATAGTCAGCTCCCATTCAACTGTGCTTCAATCATGTTAAACAGCCGGATGCGTTCAGTAATATTCCAGTATACTCTGTACGAAGGACGGGATCTGACGGCACACGATGGATCCTTCCGCCAGGCCATCAATACATCTCCACTCCTCTGCGGTTCCATTACGGTACTTATGACCAAAAGCCCTTTTGCAAGAAGATTCACATTTTCTGTAATCTTTACTATCTCGTCCGTCTGGTACTTGGCCGGATTGAAAATATACGGCGAGTATGTTTGTCGAGATGGAGTAGAAGAGCACCCGGTAGCTTCCGGCGTGCCTTGTTTCACTTTGGCCGACTACTGACTTTAAACTGGAGCTTGCTTCCGCTTAAGTCGACTGACGTGTTTATGAACTATTTCCACAAATGCCCATTTCGTTACGTACAGGTCCTTAATCACTGTTTGGAGCGTTCGATTCCATGCTTCCTCCCCTTGTGTTCAAGGATAAAAGGCTTGTTCAAATAAGGTGAGTAGTGCTACGCGTTCTGCCCTGATCAAGTGAGGATAACGTTGCCGCTTGACGGGTAATTTATCCTTGTTGACCGCTATTTGGTTCGATGTCCTTGTGTACATTACTTGAGCAAGTGAAGCAAGGAATCGAGCGGACCTCGTCGGGGTGAGGCCTACATCTCATCTACTAAGGCTGCATGAAGACCACTGTCCTCGTCAACTATAGGAGCTTCGGGGAGCTCCGAAGTGCTCCCTCGATCTTCGGAAAAGAGTGGACCCCTGAATCCGGTCGGTCGGGGCCCCGTACTCATCTTTCCGCGCCCGTTTTAATACCAGTGATGGTGCCCGTCTGGGATGCGCCTGTTGGGCTGCCAGATCTGGCGGAGACATTCCTGGAGGAGTGACTGGAAAGAGTTCGGTCTTCGGGTCCACGTACCCAATTTACCATAGGATTGGTGCGGGTCTGGATGCCATTCAGTCGTTATCCCTGGCCTGTTGCGGAAACTTAGGGGATACTTGAGTCTCGAGTGGCGCTGGAGGTGGCACTGGATGTCCTGGATCGTTACCATTGTCTTCCGTCTCGTTGTCGGAGGAGGAGGGTCGGCCAAGGGATGATAACCACGAAATGTTGCTGAACGAAGCCTGCTGTGGCTGTCTGTCTCGTTTATGCTCGCCGCTCGTGCTGCGCCAATTGAAGTGTGACCGGCAGTTATATAAGGAGCGTGCGGACGGTTGACTAGAACATGTCACTTGCAACTGCCAAATAGAGTCAGCGGATGCTTAAGCGGAGTGCTGATGTGACTAACACTGTTTAGAGTGAACGACACAACTGGCACATGTTAAGGGCTCATAAATAAAAAGCCTACAGATGAACTTTTGTGTTCTAAGCATGAATTGGTTGGCTTGAAATATTTGTATGGGTTTTTATAAGAGCTAATATACTTTTCCATTTACTTCCTCGTTCAAACTTACCCCTCTGTAAGCGAATAAACAAAAAACTCGTCTTGGTTAGGTTTTGCAAAAAGGAATATTTAAGTAAGCTAAACAAGTGCACAGGACTTTATTCAAAATTGTGGCACTATGGCGTCGCACGTTGCAACATCAAAAACGTCTTTTGATGCCGAAGAGGTACTAGGCGTCGTGATTACGATGCAACCATATGTCATGTGTCAAGGTCAAGTTCCCTTTCAGTCATGCCACAATTCTTGCTCGATATCGCACGACACAACTGAAACTGATCAGACTAGACTACCTTCGGCATCTTATGGACTTGCCATCAGTATGGCTCTTGTCTTATGTTCCAGTTTAGGTTACGTGTGGCAAGTGTTCAGAATAGAACTTGGGATCCGGATACTACACTACAGAGGTGAAACTCGCTAAATGTGTACGTCAACGAGCAAACAGGCTTGCAGCAGAGGGTGATTTTGTCAATAGCACAGTTCCCTTGTCATTCACTACCCAGGATTCTGAAAGTTGCCCAAATCCTTGTGCTCCTGGGTATAAGGCGTGTGTGTAAGAATCGGGATGACTTCAGAATATTGGAAAAGTAAATTATTGTTTCGACCAGGTGGCAATTAGTTGTGGCACTAGGATTCGGCAATCCTAAAGGTGCTGTTTTGAATATCATCCAATCTATTTGCCTCGATGCAATGCACAGCAAGTTATAGATGTGAGCGACATTACAAACCAGCGCGCTTTAAATAAGTATCGGTGAATTCAAGACGATGTGCAAATGCCAAAAACATAAATGCACCTCTGGGAAGCCTATGCAAAGCTTAATTTTTAGCTGGCTTTGATTATCCCTTTCTTCTGCAGGATCGAGGCAGGTTCGTCCGGCAACGGCATCCGACTCCAGCATAGAACGCTTCAAAATAAGATAATCTAATTAAGGCATTGACTCAGTTTTAGTTCAAGCGCGGAAATGACTCTGTCTAACAAGCGGGATATCTTCGGCACATTTTTTTGCTGCTGCATCGGAGACATTGGGAGTTGTTTTGGTCCATCGAGGACCAAATCCGTGAGCAAATTGTGAGGTTACGCCACCCCAAATCTGTGCAGATCCGGTTGCGATTGGCATCAAACTGAGACACTTATTCGGAAGTCGCCAATGGAACGGATAAGTACAATTTAGCGCAGCGGATCAAACGTGCGTCAAATGCGAGCACGCGGTAGTACCGACGAACCTCCGAATTCTGAGCCATGCCAGCGAGGAATAACTATTTTAGAGTTGGGGTCGTAGTGCTTAAGCAAACGAAACCTAACAGCTTGAGAACAATTTGTTTTGTTATTTGTAAGAGATGCGGCTAGACACTTTTGTACTTAAGAGGCATTCTACAAATAATCCTTGTTGTGACAAACGTTTGAAAGGTCCCTCACCAAGATATAGTGCTGATAGCGATAGGACCGCTCGACTGTTTGCTGAAGGACACTCGTTTATTGATGGCTGAACTATGACCAGTGTTTTGTATTCTTTGAGGAATACTTTGGACGTGCCCATGTCCTCGTACATGGGAATCCAGCCTGCCGGGGTTGATGCTTTCGCCAAGATCGCACTGTTGGAATACCACGCGCGTGCATACTTTCCCCAAGGACGACCGAGGGTAGACCTTTTCCGGGTAATGAGCTAGACACACGCGCCTTGTTTCAATACAAAGAAAGAATCGTCGTCTTTGGAGCCTCGGCCGTTGGCAGTGATATATCCGGGACCGACAGACTCAATGTCGCACGATTCAAACCAAGCTCGAGCATTGCCGAAGATGAAGTCGACCGTACCCACCACGTGCGATCGACCCATAGAATTGATAACCCCCTGTTGGCGAACAAGGTATCCTGGTGCCCGGTGATGCTGCAGGCGTAGAAAGCGCATTTCCTTGCATGCGACGCTCAGGGCCGAAGCCTGGCCATTTTTTGGGCCGTATTAACGAAATTGAGGTTGTACACCTGCACGTTGTCGGTGCCGATACTCAGCGTACTGGCAAGATCGTTGGAACTCCCATGAGGGTGAGGAGGAACATCCTGCTGCGACATTTTGTGGGTGATCGTGACTTCATTCTTATCGTACGACATCTTATCGCATGTGTATCCTTGCAGCACCAGTTTGCTCTTCAACTTCGAGATGACGACTTGTTCTGAGTACGTGCCCGCGTAGATGAAGATAGTTTGCTTCTTCTTTGTGTCCACATCCAATTTGCCCACGGCGTCCTTAATTGTGTAAGGTAATCGCTATGGTCGCCGGATTGATCCCTAATGATAGCTCCGGCTGGAGGCTTGGTGCATGCACGGCATCGGCGCCCAGCACGATGCTGGCAAGAAGTATGACTGGAAGAGCGGGGATCCGCATTGGTTAGTGTGGCAGCGTGGAAGTGACTTGATTGACGCGAAGTAAAACACCAAAGTGAGCTGCTATCGAGCTTAGATTATTCAAGCACGTCTGTTTCCCCAGAGGAAAATTTTCTATATTTTTTACCGTTGTTTTGAACACAAACTGGATGTATATACATGGGATGAGAGCACTGTAGAAAGGCTACTTGGTCGAAAAAGAATGTCCCAGATATCAAGCAGAGGCCGGTGGCAAGAAGTATGACTGAAAAAGCGAAGACGCGCATTGTTTTAATGTGCGCGTGGAAGTGATTTCCATAAATGCGAAGTAAAACACAAAGGAGCTGGCGATCTAACTTAGATCATTCAAGCACGTCCGCTTCCAAAGGAGAGTTGTTAAGTTGTTAACGTTTTAGTTGGACACAAACTGGATATATTCATCATCGGATGAGAGCTTTGTGGAAAGGCTACTTGTCAGAAAGAATGTCCCAGACTAGGCCGGCTTGTTGAAGACGAAAAACTCAAGCGGCGTGGCTTATGTTACCAACACTATTTAGAGTGGACCCACCACTGGCAGATGCTGGGGGCTGTGAAATAGACCTCCTATTCAAATGGTTTTTTTCATCAATCATCGCCTGATTCATGATTCAGATTTGTTTTCTAGAGCTGATTCATAATTAAGATTCATTATTCACAAATTAAATATAGAGATTCGTCAACTGAATATTGAATTTTAAAATACAACTAATTAAGATAGACAAACTTGCTCTTGATATCAATCACACAATGATGCCATGAGCATTTTGGCCATTTCTGCCATCAGTGCCCTTTTAAGGAAATTTTTCGACGGAAAAGTAAGTCGTGAGGTGGGAGAGGAGCTCGCCATTGTTCCGTTCGTCCAACTGAGATGTTGAAGTGCCTGATTTTTTACAGGAAATAGGGCTTCCTTCAGGTAGTATCATCCTGTTAGATGGTTGTTAGCTAGTCCTGGATACATCATTTGTTTTTGATGGAAGTAAATTGTGGTGTACGAAAGGCTCTAGTTAATAATTAATATAATTCATGAATCATGAATCAGATTTATACATTATGAACCTGTTTAGGCAGCCTACTCAAAAAAAAAAAGCCTAAAAGGTAGGTTCGGATTGCTTCTTCCAAGCATGACTCGATTGGCTAGAAACATATGTAGGGATTTTATAAGGCCTAATATACTGTTTAATTAACATCTTCGTTCACAGTTGCCCCTCTGTATGTAAATACTCATTAGGGTATAAACCCAACTACGGCCGAGACAAACGATGTCTTATATGAATACAACTCCTTTGCATGGGAGTTTACTGCGCAGATGAAGCTTTTCAAAAAGGATTGCTGGAACATATCGACGCGACGAGGCCCTGAGTAAAGGTGATTGCCAACAGGACACCCTCCGACTATACTGATTTCATTATAGTCTACCTATACTGATGACAGTGTAAGCAGATGCCTCGAAGCCTCACATACACGGACGGAGCCAGAAGAAGCTATACGACAAAGTGACACACTGAGTTGCAATGAAAAGAGAACTGTATATTATATAGTTAAATTATCGAATAAAACTCTTCTGTTTTAACTTGTGGTAACTATGTAAGACTACAATATGTATGTCGACAGCTTGCCTCCCACTCATTGCGCGCATTCATCGTCGGTCAGCGCGTTAATTGATATGATGGCCTATATCAACCAATTAGAGGGCATCTCAAACTTCAAGGAGATGCAGGGACAATATTTTTGGAAAAGGTAATATTGTCAAACATTATTAGTTTATAAAATATTATTATTAACACTACATACAAGTGTCAATATTATGTAACAGACTCACCCCGTAACAATAATAACATTCTTATATGCACTTCATATAAGCGTCAATATTATGTAACAAACTTACCCCGTAACAATAGTAACAAAATATTCTTATAAGCACTTCATATAAGCGTCAATATTTGTAACAAAATCACCCCGTTACATCACCCCCTCCATTCAACCAACAGTAACCATTAGTGACTATGGGAAGGGATGACCTTGTTTATTATTCCAACAAACCTCCTAACATGACGAAGGCGCTGCACGTCACTGTTGAGGCTTTACAGCCTCAACCAGCAAATTTATAATGTGTCTGCTGCAAGACAACATCAGCCTGCAACGTCTGTAGCAGGTTCACGTGGCTCAATGCCTCGTGAAGATGTTGATTCAGAGCTTAAAATTATATACTCTATGAGAAGGATGATGCATTCTTTTTGAAGCGTTCTTCTCTACCTTCGGGCTCACTTCGGGGAGCTGCCGCTACTTCTGTCCCTACTTTTAGAGACAGTGGCACATTGAGTGATTTCATGTGCAGGAAATATTTGTTGTGCCTCATGAATCAGACGACTCGCCATTCTAGCCGAGTAAATCCAGACTCGGCTGGTCGAGTGTTCACATAGGAGAGAAGATCACGTTATCAGCGGTCACCATAGGCAGCATGTCGATCCCTACGATAGCAGATGACGCTGTGATTTTGATCCACCGTAATAAACTAGCTCGACTTGCTATGCAGATCATTTCGCCCATAGTACCGTGAATGAGAATGCAATATGTTGCAAGTGATGTCGGTACTTCTATTGACATCACGTAGGAGACTCGAGTCTGTAATGCTTTGTGTCCTACTCCTAAACGGAAACCGTGGATGCTATCTCAGCAACTACCGGACCGCTGGTCTGGTATGACCAGTGAACGGTATATAATTATCTTTTATTACGTCACAGCTTCACAGCTTCACGGCCTGACGCCAGTGCAAACTATTTTCGCACTGAAAATGACATTTGCATCGATGCGTTTCTAATGCATTGATGATTCAGCGCACACTGTAAGCGTGACGTTGACGCATTCCTTCAGGCTTGAAACACGTTCATTATTCGCGTTAATAACGTTGGACGTTATGCCTGGCTCCAGAAACTTATCGCTAATCGCAATAAGTTTAGAAAGAGAACCATGACCTGTAATGGGGCAACCTATTACATAAGTAGCTAAAGGAATAATACATAATTACATAAGTAGGCATAGGGCAGTATCCGATTAGCGGATACTGCGCGTCATTTTATTATTGATTTATTATTGGGGTGCCAGACCCAATAATTAGCCAATAATAAATTGACTTCCATATTTGAGTGGTTCCCATGAGCTAGGGAACATATTCGCACTTACTGCGAATGAAAACTAAAACAAAACTAAAACAGAGTTATATTTACGAGTTAATTAAGAGCGCTTCCTCAACGCCCTTTTAGTGTAAGACGGTAACGGGTCCTTAGCCCGTTACACCTGGTAGCATTTCGTAGTCCTTCCAATGACCAGATTCGAGATGAACATGGGCGAGTCTTCGGTGGCTCCAGCGGTCTCGCTGGAGCATTCTGATTTGCCACATCTCACCTCGGTGGAGTGGCAGGCACTACATCGCCTCGCGGCGGTGTCTGGTGAAACTATTGTGACGTCGCTGCTGAGCACAGCGACGCCTGATGATCAACGTGCCGCCATCCAAGACTTTATGGTGCGCGAGCTCGCCGAAGCGAATCGGCGAGTATTGACTCCCTCGCGCACTTCGCACCATGACGCTATCAAGAGACGTCAACGTACTCCGGTGATGGTCCGGATCGTCTCCCCCTTAATCGCTGGTTTCGCAAGGTGGATATTGCAATAGCGTCAAGATTAATTGACGCTCCGACGGCCAAGGTCAATTTCCTGTTGTCTCGTCTTGCCGGCAAAGCCAAGGAATGGGCCCTCGGAAAGCTCGTCGTAGATGAGTCGGCGTTTTCTACGCTGGACGATATCCAGCGTGACTTACGACTGGCTTTCGAGCCTCCTCAAGATGAATCTCGCTTGCGTGCAGATTTCTTCTCACTCCGACAGGGCAAGCTGTCGATGCGTGACTACGTGCAGAAGACACGTCATCTTGCTTCGTGCATTACCACGCAGCCAATTGACATGGCCTCACAATTCCATATCTTTTTTAGTATGAAGAAGGGCATGACGCGTTACTTTCTCACACTTACTGAACTCAAGTCTCTTGAGGAGGCATTTGCCCTCGCGCTCCGTGAAGACCACGCTGTCGCGTCGTCGTACTTGCACGCAGCGTCACGACGTCCCCGGACGTATGGCACAGAGCCAATAATACTCGACGTAATCGATATCTCTCGCGGTCGCGACAAATCATTAGGCCACGACATTCGTACTTATAACACGATGAAGTGTTATCGTTGTGGCAAGCCAGGCCATCGTGCGGCTGTCTGTCGAGCACCAGCGCCGGCGACTATGAACACAGCTGTCTAACGAGGAAATGCTTTGTCGTCGGTGGTCCCGCCGGAAAAACGAGTGGTTCGAGTTGGCGTGAGGCGCCCTACTTGCAGTAATGGAGCGATGAGTACTCAGGTGTCACCTCGAGCTCCTTGACCTAATTTAATTCATACTCACTTCAATGCGCAATGACTTGAGACTGATTATTATCAGTCTCATCGTTGCTGGCTTGAAGCGAACACTTCGAGCGGTGTTGGATTGGGTGCACCCAACAACTTTTTTGTGCATCCTGTTTGTCCCTTCTCCCTTCGACTGTCACGGTTCGAGAAGGTACAGGTGACATCGTTGTCCAACTTGCTGATGGATAACCAAAAAACTTGTTCCGCGTAATACAGTGGTTTTAACGTACACCTTAGATGGTTTCCAGAGTAATGATAAATTATTGGTGTACGAGATGAATTATGCATTTGATTGCATCCTTGGGATACCGTGGCTTGTCACGATATCAGCCGAAGATAGATTGTCTATCTCAATCCGTCAAACGACGAAGCGGATATGACGTCAATGAAGTGTTTATTCATTTGTTGGTCGCTTCATTCGATTGGCTTTACGTCAGGGACGTAAACGAACTCGCTACGAATAATATCCAGCAAATAGAGAGTGATGAACCTCTGTGCGAAGTATGTTCCGTTACACTGATGGAGCTACAGAATGAGGCGG